CAAGATATCTGTGCTGGACGTGCTCACAGGCATGTCCCAGCTCTCCATTGCTTTACCCATTTAGAAAAGTTTTAAGTTGTTGCCGGTTGAGTTTTAGTTTAGATTGTGAGGTCTGGCTCCAGCCAACGGAGATGAGGCACAGCAGTAAGGACAACCCCAAATGTGTAAGAAATAAATTTGTGTGTATTCTCTTTGTTCTTTGTACTCTCGTGGCAAGATGGCTAGTGAGAGTACCCTTCCTACAGTCCAGGAAATAAAAATTGTGTTGCTGAAAGATCTTTTGTCCCAGTACTAATTTTTCTTTGCGGCACCAAGCATGTATTTCCAACAGCCAAAGACTGCATCCTGTTTGGAATGTGAAAGGTGACCCAGCAGGTGTAGAGGAGGAGGGTAGGGGAAACTGCCTGGCTGGCCAGCCTTCCTTCCAGCTGTGTGTCCTGCCTAGACTCCAGCTGTGAGTCCAGCATGCTGGGAGGTCCATGGAGAGTTTCTGAGAATGCTGGGATTACATGTGTCTTTTTTTTTTTTTTTTTTTGATAGAGTTTCGCTCTTGTTGCCCAGGCTGGAGTGCAATGGCATGATCTCAGCTCATTGCAACCTCCACTTCCCGGGTTTAAGCAATTCTCCTGCCTCAGTCTCCCAAGTAGCTGGGGTTACAGGTATGTGCCACCATGTCTGGCTAATTTTGTATTTTTAGTAGAGACAGGATTTCTCCATGTTAGTCAGGCTGGTCTCAAACTCCCGACCTCAGGTGATCTGCCCTCCTTGGCCTCCCAAAGTGCTGGGATTACAGGCGTGAGCCACCATGCCCAGCCTATATGTGTCTCTTAATCCATGTTGTGTTGCTATAACAGAATACCACAGACTGTAATTTATTTATTTATTTTGAGACCGCATCTCACTCTGTCACCCAGGCTGGAGTGCAGAGTACAATGGTGCAATCTTGGCTCACTGCAACCTCTCTGCCTCCCAGGCTCAAGCAATTCTCTTGCCTTAGGCTCCCGAGTAGCTGGGATTACAGGTGCACACCTACATGCCCGGCTAATTTTTGTATTTTCAGTGGAGTCTGGGTTTCACCATGTTGGCCAGGCTAGTCTCAAACTCTTGACCTCAAGTGATCTGCCCACCTCAGCCTCCCAAAGTGCTGGGATTACAGGTGTGAGCTACCACAACTGGCCCAGACTGGATGTTTGTAAATAAATGAATTCTTACAGTTCTGGAGGCTGGGAAGTCCAAGGTTAAGGGAACATATCTGGCAAGGGTCTATGTTTTGCATCATCATGTGGCAGAGGGCATCACATGGTGACAGAGTGTGGGGGAAGGGGGAAAATCTCATCCTTTTATCAAGGATCTATGATAACTTACCCATTCCCAAGATCACTAACTCACACCCATGATAATAATCCATTATGGGTCAGTAATTAATTCATGGCCGGGCATGGTGGCTCACACCTGTAATTCTAGCACTTTGGGAAGCTGAGGAGGGTGAATCATTTGAGGTCAGGAGTTCAAGACCAGCCTGGCCAACATGGTGAAACCCCACCTCTACTAAAAATACAAATATTATTGAGGTGTGGTGGCAGGTGCCTGTAATCCCAGCTACTTGGAAGGCTGAAGCAGGAGAATCGCTTGATCCCGGGAGGTGGAGGTTGCAGTGAGCTGAGATGGTGCCACTGCACTCCAGCCTGGGTGACAGAGCGAGATAAAACAACAAAAAAAGAAAAATTCAATGTTGAAGGCAGAGCCCTCATGACTTCATCACGTCTTATAAGGTCCCACCTCTCAACACTGTTGCACTGGGGATTAGGTTCTGATACGTGAACTTTGGGGGACACATTCACATAGAGTGTTTGCCGAGACCTCGTCATAGACTCTAGAATGCTCCTCCTCCTGCACACCTCACTGCCACGTCACTAAAGCCCACTTACAGCATTTCCTTTTTATGCTGTGCCTGCCTTTTAACAAGGAATTACAAGGCATGCTAAAAGGTAAAACACACAGAAGAGAAAGATCAAACATTAAAACTAGACTGAGATATGCCAAGCATCCTGGAATTATTAGGCCAGGATTGACTGACTGATTGATTGACTTACATTTTTGAAATGGAGTCTCACTCTGTTGCCCAGGCTGGAAGTTCAGTGGTGCCATCATGACTCACTGCAGCCTCGACTTCCTGGGCCCAAGCAATTCTCCCACCTCAGCCTCCCATGTGTCTGGGACCACAGGCACATGCCACCACGCCTGGCTAGTTTTTCTTTACTAGGTGTAGAGACAGGGTCTCGCCATGCTGCCCAAGCTGGTCTTGAACTCCTAGGTTAAAGTGATCCTCTCGCCTTGGCCTCCCAAAGCGCTGGGATTACAGGCATGAGCCACCACGCCCAGCCACATCAAGAATTTTAAAAAGCCATGATTCGGCTGGGTGTGGGAGGCTGAGGGGGGTGGATCACGAGGTCAACAGATTGAGACCATCCTGGCCAACATGGTGAAACCCCGTCTCTACTAAAAATACAAAAAAAATAGCTGAGCATGGTGGCACATGGCTATAGTCCCAGCCACTCAGGAGGCTGAGGCAGGAGGATCGCTTGAGGGGGAGGTTGCAGTGAGCTGAGGTCACGGCACTGGACTCCAGCCTGGTGACAGAATGAGACTCCGTCTCAAAAAAAAAAAAAAATTGTGATTCATATATTAAGGACTCTAATGCACCACACCAGGGACTGGCTTCTGCCCCCAAACTGGCTCATCAGCAATCACAAAGCTTACGGCATCTCCAGCCCCAAGAAGCGCAGCTTGCAGCTCGTTAGAGTGTAAGTGCAACTTGCACCAACAGGGATGCTCATGTCATGTTCCACCAAGGCCAATAGGCCGTCCTATTTCATTGAAATTTGTGACATTTTTTCACTGGCATACCAAAGCAGCCAAGACCTTCCTCTGATGTTGTGGGTATAAGAGTGGGAGGACGGACTAGGACGGTGTCTTTTTGTTTACTACATATTCCTAGGAAGAGAAAAGCAAAAGAGGATGGAGTTCTGGGAAGTAATAAAATAATCTGGCTGGTCAGGGTAGCTCATGCCTGTAATCCCAGCACTTTGGGAGGCTAAGGTAGGTGGATTGCTTGAGCTCATGAGTTTGAGACCAGCCTGGGTAACGGTGAAACTCCATATCTACAAAAAATACAAAGCATAGCCAGGCGTGGTGGTGTGTAGTCTCTGATACTCAGGAGGTTGAGGTGGGAGGATCGCTTGAGCCTGGGAGGCAGAGGTTGCAGTGAGCGAGGTTGGTGCCACTGCACTCCAGGCTGGGCAACTGAGCCAGGCCTTGTCTCAAACCAAACCAAACCAAACCAAAACAAAACAAAAACTTTGTGTCCATTGGAAGGGCCCTCAAATGACCTTCCAGCCTGCTGGTTTTACAGATGGGAAACGAGACCCAGAAAAGCAAAAGTATTGTGCAAGGTCACACAGCTAGTGGTGCTAGAGGGGTGCTTGGAACCAGCAGTGTTTGCCTCCATGATCTGCGTGATGCCCCAACTCCTGTCAGGTCACCTTGATCCCCGCCGCTCCCTGCAGAGGGCTCATCAAACACATGGCCTGCCTGCACCACGCAGCCTGGAAGGTGAGCTGCTGTGGAATATGTTACCAACCACGCCTTGATACGTGCAGAGGTGGGGGCTGTAGGGGTGACTCACTTATCCTTCAGTTCAGAAGCCGTTTCAGGAATCAGAGGAGGTGTTACTTCCTGGTGTTGGGAGTATAGGTATGTTTATTTTCTCATCTGTAATTTCCAGGGTTTTCCAAAATTTTACAACAAACATCTATAATTTTATGAACCCTCCCCATCTAATTTTTAAAAAGAAGTTGAGAGGCAGAGAAATGCCCAGCTCACTACTGAGATCCATCAAGTGAGGCTAGCTGGCATCTGTCACACCAGGCAGAGGCCCTGCGCTGGAAGCCCTGGAGGTTACCAGCTCTGAGCCTGGTATCCAAGGCTACCTGGGCAGCCTCAGCCTCCTCCTTCCCTTTGCTCCCACCAGACCCTGCTCCTGAGATGTCCTTTCCCCATTACCACCACAAAATTGGACTAATTTTTCAGGGCTGAACACCAATTTTGCTAATTGGTTGAAGGTGTGTGGTTTTTTCTTTTTTTTTTTTTTTTTTGAGTTGGAGTTTTTTGAGATGGAGTCTCACTTTATCATCCAGGCTGGTGTGCAGTGATACAGTCTTGGTTCACTGCAACCTCTGCCTCCCAGGTTCAAGGGATTCTCCTGCCTTGGCCTCCTGAATAGCTGGGATTATAGGAGCCTGCCACCACCCCTGGCTAATTTTTGTATTTTTAGTAGAGACGGGGTTTTGCCATGTTGGCCAGGCTGGTCTCGAACTCCTGACCTCAGGTGATCCACCATCTAAGCCTCCCAAAGTGCTGAGATTACACATGTGAGCCACCTTGCCTGGCCTGGATGAAGGTGTTTTAAAAGCCCTACCTCCCCCTGTTGGGATGACCCTCTGTCTCCCTCCTTGGACCAGTGACGGCACTTTCCTTGAACGTACTTTATTATCTTTATCATGTCCTGCCTTGTCCTGGAATTGTCTGCACCCAGGTCTGTTTCTCCTACTGGACTAAGGCCTCTTTGCAAGTAGAGTCTGCTTATCAGTTACCTTTGTATTCCCACCTCCATCCTCAACCTGCCACATGCTAGACTTCAGATAAATGTCTCTTGAACTTATGTGAACTGAAACTATGGTATCCTAAAAGAGGGGTGTGATATATCAGTATGTGGCAGGGCTCATGACCCTTGGCACTTTTGACATCTGGGTTGGGATAATTCTATGTGGTGGGAGCTACAGTGTTTAGAGTTTAGTGTTTGTGGTAGAGGTTGCAGTGAGCCGTGTTTAGTATCTGATTAGTCTTTAGTGTTTAGTACCTGATCTCTACTTTTTAAAATTAAAAAAAATTTTTTTAATAGAGGTGGGGTTTCACCATGTTGGCCAGGCTGGTCTTGAACTCCTGACCTCGTGATATCCACTGCCTTGGCCTCCCAAAGTGCTGGGATTACAGGCGTGCGCCACCACGCCCGGCCCTGATCCCTACTTATTAGATGCCAATGCCGGTAGGTAGCGCTAGTGCAGCCAGGTCTTCTATTCCGGGCCCAGGGTTCATCCCGCTCTCCTGGAGGCCTCTCAGGACCCCAGAAGGATTTTTGCTTCACTACTTTGGTGCATCCACTCCACCCCCACCCTCACATCCTGGGTTCTATCTTGTTCCCTTTCCTTCTGCCCCACCCCTGCAGCCTGTGCCACTGGTTGTCCCTACTGGTCCATGCAGACTAGACTGAGACTGTGCCCAGACACACACTTCACATGCTCTTCAGCTCCTTGGGCTCATCTCCGTGCTTGAACACACTGATGGTGACCTGGCCCGTCTCGGAGCCATACTTGTTCTTGACGAAGACACCATATCGGCCGCTGTCATCACTGTTGACCTTCTCAATGGTGATGGTGACCTCCGTGCCCCTCACTTCCATGCGGTATCGGTCAAGGAAGGTGACAGGCTGGTCATTCTTCAGCCAAGAGATTTCAGGGGTGGGGTCTCCTGAGATGACGCAAGTCAAGCACAGGGTCTGTTTGAAAAGACAGGAAGAGAATAGCTTCACTTCCTTGTAACTTGAACTTGGCATCACTTTCATGCCCCCAGAGAGCTCCCAGTTTGGGTTGCTCCCTGTGATAATTTAATAAATGTGTTTTATTGTAATTTATAAAGGGGAGAGATTTTATTTTAACCCCATATCCTGCATCCTCAAACTTTTATTTTATTTTTTTGAAACGGAATCTTGCTCGGTCACCCAGGCTGGAGTGCAGTGGCGCGATCTCAGCTCACTGCAACCTCCACCTCTCAGGATCAGGAGATTCTTGGGGCTTAGCCTCCTGAGTAGCTGAGATTAGAGACACATGCCACTGCGCCTGGCTAATTTTTGTATTCTTAGTAGAGACTGGGTTTCACCATGTTGGCCAGGCTGGTCTTGAACTCCTGACCTCGAGTGATCTGCCTGCCGTGGCCTTCCAAAGTTTTGGGATTACAGGCGTGAGCCACTGCTCCTAGCCATCCTCAACCTTTCTACAGGAATACCTACTAGTTAGAATCTCAGACCATGATTACGCTAGCAATTATCAGCCCTAGAATGGCCTTCACTTTGTTTTACTGCTTTTTTTAATATGTATGTCACTATGATTTTACTGTGCAAGTAAGATTATATTGCTTTAGTACATAGATTTATGAATTTAAATAGAAAATTATTGAACAAATAAGCTCTAATGCAGAGCATTGTAATATAATAATTAACCACACATAGGCTCTGGTGTGAATCTCAGCTCTGCCCCTTCAAGCTGGGTGACCTTATGTTCCTTAACCTGGGTTAAGGGACTCTGGGTTTCCTTAGCTATAAAGTGTGATTAGTAATAAACAAAACCCTATTTCTTTCATTTTCTTTTTTTTTAGATGGAATTTCGGTCTTATTGCCCAGGCTGGAGTGCAATGGTGTGATCTCGGCTTATTGCAACCTCTACCTTCTGAGTTCAGGAGATTCACCTGTCTCAGCCTCCCGAGTAGCTGGGATTACAGCGCATGCCACCACGCCTGGCTAATGTTTGTATTTTTAGTAGAGAAAGGGTTTCATCATATTGGTCAGGCTGGTCTCGAACTCTTCACCTCAGGTGATCTGACTGCCTCAGCCTCCCAAAATGTTGGGATTACAGGCATGAGCCACTGCGCCCTGCTGGCATAAAACCCTATTTCATGTGATTGCCTTGATGGTAAATAAGCTAAAATAGGCAACATACAAGGAATCGTGCCTGGCACAAAGGAAGCACCATAAAAATGTCAGCAATTCTTTTCAGAAACGCTGGCTTTGCATAAATAAGTTCAGTCCTAGACGGGCCTTTAGGGATCACCCAGTAGACATTTCCTGTGGATGCTGAAGTTCACAGGCAAAAGTCAGTGATGCCCAGGGCTGTCTAGACAGATGGAGATAGAACTGGGTCAAGCACCCACTGAGGGTGGACACCAGGCCCAATGGCTTTCCTTTGTACCATATGCAATCATTGAGGTGTGGTCACTTAGCCACGCTTTGGCTTCTAATCCATAGCACTGCATTGTTTCGTGGTCTGTGATGGGCGCAAGAGGAAACACAGCAGGGGGCTGCTGGCTGTGGGCAGGGAAGGCTCAGTACCTTATCTTCCATGATTGTGGCCACATCCGGCAGACCCCTCACCACTTTGGCACGATCTGAAAGGGAAATGCGAGACCCCAGCAATGAATCTTTTTCTGCCAGCTGCTTCCCAGAAGTTTCATTTTTTTTTGTTGTTTTCTTCTTTTTTTTTTTTTTCTCTTCCCAGAAGTTTCATAGAGTTGAGGGTTTATTTTTAAGCAAGGCTTCTTGTATTTCTTTTTCTTTTTTCTATTTTCATCATTTTGGATAGAAATCTTTTTTTATTTTATTTTTTCAAAATTAATTTTTTGAGACAGGGTCTCACTCTGTTGCTCAGGGTGGAGTGCAGCAGTACAATCTCAGCTCACTGCAAACTCTGCCATCTGGGCTGAAGCGATCCTCCCCCCTCAGCCTCCTGAGCAGCTGGGACTACAGGCATGTGCCACATGCCGGCTAATTTTTGTATTTTTTGTAGAGACGGAGTTTTGCCATATTGCCCAGGCTGGTCTTGAACTCCTGGCTCCAGCAATCCTCCTGCCTTGGCCTCCCAAAATGCTAGGATTACAGGCATGAGCCGCCATACCTGGCCTTGGGTGGAAACCTCTAGAACTATATTACACACTTCTTCGTATTCATAAGTAGAAGATATGGGACATAAAGTGTTTCTGTTACTGATCTGAGGTCCTTTGCTATGATTGGTGATACCTGGAGAAGACCATGCAATACCCCTGCCCTCAAGAACCAGGAAGAAGGTACATGGGACTACTCTGGGACTTCAACTGGCAAAATCCACACAATGGGCGTGACCAACAAGTTTAGGGAGAGAACCAAGAGGGGTCAGAGAAAGCCAGGCAGAAGCTTTTGGGACACTTTGAATCTGATCAAGCAAAGGACCTTGTGGCCATTGGGGGTGGGCAGGAAGAGTGTGGCTGTAAATCACTAAGCAGAAAGCCGGGCTACTTAGGGGAAGCTGAGGGAATAGGAGGAGTGGTCAGCATGGCCTAGACCAGAGATCAGGGATATGTAAAGAGCCTGCCACAGGTGGCGCCTTTCCAGTGGGTGAAAGGGGAGTGGGACCCCAGCTGGGGTGGGGAAGGCCCCACAGATGGATGCAGTGTTGGGCAGAAAGTGTCACCAGCCCTCCACAGCTGGGCGAAATGATCATTTCCCTCCACTCTGATTCCACACACCCCAGCAACCCAGTATTGTTGAATTCAGCTTTCCTCTATTAGGGTCCTAGATGGGGCTCCTGTTCAGGATGTGGCATTCCAGGAGGGACAGGGATATTGTCGCTGGGTAAATGATTAGATTTATGGTACAAGAGCCTCTTCCTGAGGCTGAGCTGGTCTTGGGCTGTGCTGCCTCCACTAAGGTACCCCCAGTCCCCTGCAGGAGCTTCTCACTCCATGGCCACTTACGTCCCTCAACTGCCCCTTCCTGATAACAGCTATGAGCCTGAGGCCTGCACTTGCTGTCAAGTGGAGACACGGGCACAATGATGCCATGCAGAGCAAATTACCCCGTCCTACAAGTGGCCTCAAGCTGGTGGTGCGAGTTTTCTTGTCTGTTCTTAGAGCTGTGCAGTCTCCTTCTACGGCTGCACCTGTGCTTTGCTGCCTGCCCGGGTCTTTCCCTTACTGGAATTCCTCCTCTTCATCTGCTGGGAAGCGAGAACAGACAGCCACACTCCTACCACTGGGCCACTTAGAACTGGCTTGGGTTGTAGGGGCTGATGAATTGGACAAGCTTGAGCTCATGGACTTGGTGGTGGCTCCCCTGGTGGCCCCGAGTCTCTGGGTTCGGTGGTGCCATGTGCCTCTGGGTTTGGGGCTTTATCCTGGATTCAATGAGGCTCCCATGCCTTGAGAGCCATAGCTCTTCAGCTGTGAGGTATGATGCAGTAGTGGGCAGAAGGCTATGATTCTTCAGCTTTAAAGTCACCCTGTCCCCACAGATCACTCGGGAAGGCCTGCCAAGCCTCATTCCTGTCTGTCCCCTCCTTTCGGGTCTCCCCAATGTAGTCCATGTGCCTGCAAGGACCAGGCTTGCGCTGGGCGCTTCCACAACACAATCCCAGGCATCCTTGGACTCTGTATCTGTCCTGCCCAGGTCTCCCCTGCAGCTCTGTAAGACTCTAGAGCCCTACAGACCCCACTGTGGAATGAGGCCTTTGGCAGCCCCACCGAGAGCCTTAAGCTTCCAGGAAATTTGCCCCAAATTCAGAAACAAAAACAACAGAAATATCGGCAGACTTACTCTTCTCGATGATGGCCAAGGCTCTGAAAAACAGAAATGAGAACAAGATGTGAAATTCCACTTGCTAAAGGACAGTCCTGCCCACGTGGAGTTGAGGGGTGACGAGGGAAAGGTGGAGCTGGCTGGGGCTCCCAGGAAGGGGTCCTGAGCCTAGTTCATGCCACACTCTGGAGGGTCCTGTAATTCACACTGAGAAATGTAGAGGAAACTTACTTCAGTCTCTGGTGTTCGGCCATAGCATCATCAAAAGCTGTAAGAAGGACAAAGGAGAAAGGGGAGCATCAGGGCCTCTGCTGTCCGATGGTGGGGACAGGGTGACCCTGGGAGCAGAGCTTATCCCTGACTGTCCTCCACTCTCCTCCTAATTCCGATGTTCCTTTGGGTGACTGCCAGGATTGGGTGGGAAGGTAGTCGTCACCTTGAAAGACCATGGGATTTTCTTTTTTCTTTTTATTTAGTTTAAAAAAAAAAAGCTTTCTTTCCTTAACACCTATCCCAGAGTAATCTTTATTATTGTTCTTTTATTTTTTGAGACAGGGCCTCACTCTGTTGCCCAGGCTGGAGTGCAGTGGGTGATCACAGCTCATAGGAGCCGCTATCTCCTGGGCTCAAGCAATCCTCCCACTTTAGCCTCCCGAGTAGCTGGGAATATAGGCACGTGTCACCATGATAAATTATTTTTATTTTTTGTCGAGATGTTGCCCCGGCTTGTCTCAAACTCCAGAGTTCAAGCGATCCTCCCACTTCAGCCTCCCAAAGTGCTGGGATGACAGGTGTGAGCCACTGTGCCCGGCCTAACCACGGGATTTTCTAAGCAGGTTTCTCTGCAGACATAGATGGATGGCTCACCTTGCCCTGAGAGATCCGTCGAGAGCTGCCGGGCTTCCTTCCCTGCAGCTATTTCCAGAGTGTATTTACCCTTGTCTGAGTCTTTGGGGTCCAGGATGTGAAGCCAGATCTCATCCAGGGTGGTGCCCACCCTCATGCGATCACCACTCTCCAGGCGTTTGTCTCTGAATGTGAGGGCACAGTAACAGTTAAGGCTGCCTGTCTGCAGGTCAACAGACACCCCTGCCCCAAAACCCTCACCTGTGGTTTTGTTTCGAGATCCATGGGCTGTGGGTGGTGGCCATTAATGAGGCACTGCATAAATATCTATTCACTTTCTCACTCATTATTCAACCCTCTATTCATCATTCAGTACTTCATTCATTCATCAGTTCTCGTGGCATGACAATTATGTGTCGGTGCTGAGTCTGCATTTGTGATGTGTGCTTCAGGGTAAGTGGCTGCCACCTCCCTCACTCTCAGGAGCCAGCTTCCTCACCTCTTTATTCTCCTCCTTTTAAACCCTCCCAGGCTTTCCTCCCGCAAGCACTCTCCTCTAACCTTTAGAAACCATATAAGGTTAAACTTCTCCCCTTCTTTACTTAAATTTCATTCCTAGAGACACTGTCCTCTGTCACCAGTGTTGTGTTGCAGGGGTGACACCTCTGTGCTTAGTCCCAGGGCTCAGAAACTCTCGCTGGGGAAGGAACCTATTGTCCTGAAATTCCATCTGTCCTTGGCTTTCACTCATTGGACAACCTTGACCAAATCAGTCTCGCCTTCTCCATAGAATGGGTGCAGTAATGTCTGCTACACAAGGCTGAGGCGTGCACATGATAAAAAGCACTGGGAAAACTCTGCTGTCAAATTATCTGGGGTCTCTCAGAGAGTGGGTGAGTCTCGGTAGGCACCTTGTCTATCCTGCCTTCAAGCCCTGGCCCTCTGCGAGTGATCAGCTCCACACACTCTTCTCCTGCATGTTTCTTCTAAGCCTGGCTGACCAAGTTTGCTAAGGCTGCAGAGGCCCACAAAGGTACCCTGACCCGCCTGGCCACTTGGCTCTTCTTTGTCCCTTCATCCTTTCTCCCCCAGATGCTGCTCAGAGACTGACCCTGCTGTGGCCATAGAGTTTCCAGAAACATGTTGTCCCACCAAGGTTCCCATCTTCCCTGGAGGATCTCGGCAAAGGCTTTCTCCTCCTCCCACTGCTAATCTCTATCCTCAACGCCTCGGCAGATAGCAAGACCAGTGAGAGACCCTGTCTGCCAACCCCCCGGACTCGGCGTTGCTTGGAGGACTGGTCAGGGAGAAGGGATGGGAACCCTGTGGGGCAGGTGATGAAATCTTTCCAGCCTGGCTGGGGCTCTGGGGCAAGGCGGACCTACTTGTGGAACCAGGTGGTTTTCATGTACTCCATGTTGTAGTACTTGACCTTGCTGAAGATCCGGATCCCTTCCTCAGTCCCCTGGATTTTCAGTGGCGTTGCAGAGAGGGCTGGGGAGACAGAGGAGAAGGGTGAGTCTTCCCTGAGTCCATTTGGGCATCACATTTTGGGACCAGCTTGTCTGCCTCTGCTCTTGGGGGAGGGGGCAGGTGCTGTGTGGGGAATGTAGGGCTGTGAAGAGGCAGGATTTTCTCTTCAATGTTTGAGGTTGGAAACAAAACCCACTCCGGATAGCCAAGTCTGGTGTTAGGCTGCTTGGAGGCTGCTGGGCATCAGGGCAGGGCTGGGCAAAGAGGCAGGCTACTTACCACCAATTCTGCCCAGCTCGGTGAAGATGGCATCCAGGGCTGGAGGGAGACGGAGAGAAGAGTTTGTTGGCAGAGGGCTCCCCTAGGGATGTGCTAAGAGTGGGGACATCCTTGAAAAAGGCTGGTGGAGCCTGTGAGCTGCTCTAGGGGTGGACAGGGAGCTCTGAAGGACGACTGTCATGGCTTGGGGATAGGAAGGTTCAGGGTACTCAGAAGTGGGGTGGAGAGAAGGGCACTAGGTGAGGAGGACAAACATGCACACCTGACAGATTTTTGCAGGCTGAGCCGATCAGCCTGATGAGGAGCCTGGGCCTGCTGTGGGACGGAGGAGTGAACTCAGGCTTCAGGTCTCCAAGCCTGGGCTCACTGTGATATACTGTGGTGAACACAGGCATCAGAGTTACAGACCTGGTGCCTGCCACTGACTAGCTGTGAAAACTTGGGCAAGTCACTTAATCTCTTTGTGCCTCAGTTTCTCCAAGTGACATGGGGATCCCATAAATCTTACTGCACAGATCACATCACAGTCTGCTCCACTGCACTCCCTCTGCAGCCCCTGACCCAGCACCAGCTCCTACCGTCACCCGTGAGATCCAATATGGTGTCGTCCTCCCCTCGATCGTCAGAAACCATCGCTCTGTAAATCCCCTTGTCCTTTTTGGACAACTGGAAAGAAGGATGAATGATGGTGCTGTCAGCATGGGCTCCAGAAGGAGAGATAGATACCAAATCAGGAGGCCTGGGCTCCGGGCCTGCCCCTAGCTCTCCGCATGACCTCAGGTAAGACCCTTCTCCCTGGGCCTCCGTTTACTCATCTGGGCTGGGTTATCTCTAAGGCTCCTTTCAGCTCCAGAGCCCATGGATTCCTAGCTTGGGGCTTGTCTGTGCCTGGGGAGGGGGTGGAGTAGGAGGAGCTGAGGGTCGAACTAGACACCTTCACGTGCATTCACAGGCAGCTGCTCTGAGCACTGCAGTGAGCCTCACTTTGTGAGCTTCTCTGACCTGGCACAGCTTTCGCTCCCTGGTGGCTCCTGGTTGGAGGGACCCCCACCACCTGCAGCTCCCGAGGAGGAAGCATGTTTTCTCTTGCCTAGGACAAGGGGGTCCTTTTGACCCATGTTTGTCAGCCCCAAATTAAGTCTGAATCTCAGCAAAGCAAGAACTTGAGTTGGGCTTTCAAGGCAAGGTCCAGAGATCAGAAGTGACCTCTCATTACACAGCAGCTTCCTTGAGGCCTGGGAGTAATATTTGTCTTCCCAGCCCCTCATTTCTCTCTCTCTTTTTTTTTTTTTTGAGACGGAGTCTTGTCACCTAGGCTGGAGTGGAGTGGCATGATCTCAACTCACTGCAACCTCTGCCTCCCAGATTCAAGTGATTCTCCTGCCTCAGCCTCCCAAGTAGCTGGGAATACAGGTGCATGCCACCACACCTGGCTAATTTTTTTTTTTTTTTTTATTTTTAGTAGAGATGGGGTTTCACCATATTGGCCAGGTTGGTCTTGAACTCCTGACCTCATGATCTACCCGCCTCAGCCTCCCAAAGTGCTGGGATTACAGGTGTGAGCCACTCTGCCTGGCCACTCATCTCTCAATACTTCCCACCGGGGCCATCTCCACACAGTGGGTTCGGGGCAGGGTCCAAGACAGAGGCAGCTTTTAAGCTGAGGATTGAGGTACTGAGCCCCGAAGTCCTCTCTTATGTCTCGTCATCCCATGAAGGCTCCAAGGTCTCAGCCAAATCCAGGGTGGGTGACTGGAGTGGCCTCTGACCCCACCCTCTAGACTTGTGTCTTTGTACTGAAATCCTCTGAGCCTCAGTTTACTCATCTGTAAAATTACAGCACCATCCTTGCCCTGCCTTTGTGCTACAGACCCCCAAGCCTGCACAGTCATTGGCAGGGCCAGTAATGGAGCTAAAGAAAAAAATCAGTAATACTGATTCTGTCTCTATTGAAAATTTAGGGTTTTTGGCCGGGCGTGGTGGCTCACACCTGAAATTCCAGCACTTTGGGAGGCTGAGCCAGGTGGATCATGAGACCAACAGATGGAGATCATCCTCGCCAACAAGGTGAAACCCCATCTCTACTAAAAATACAAATATTAGCTGGACATGGTGGCATGAGCCTGCTACTCAGGAGGCTGAGGCAGGATAATTGCTTGAACCTGGGAGACGGAGGTTGCAGTGAGCTGAGATCGTGCCACTGCACTCCAGCCTGGGCAACAGAGCAAGACTCTGTCTCCANCCCAGCTAATTTTTGTATTTTTTGGTAGAGATGGGGTTTCACCACATTGACCAGGATGGTCTCAATCTCCTGAACTCGTGTTCGGCCCGCCTCAGCCTCCCAAAGTGCTGGGATTACAGGCATGAGCCACCGCACCTGGCCGATGATACATTGCTAACTTGGGCAACTGGATGTATGATAGCAGCTTATTGAAAGAGAAAAATGGAGACATTAGATTTGGGAGGAGAAGATAATGGTACTTTGTTGATCAGGGCGAAGTGTCTGTGGGAAATTGAAGTGAAGCTGCCTAGTAGGAAGGTGGATTATTTGGATATGGAGCAATGCGCTAGAGATAATTTGAGAGTCTTTGGCTTATACGTGGCATTTGAAACCATGCAAATAGAAGCGACTGCCCACTGAAAATGGATAGAATGAGAAGACGCAAAGAAATACCAACATTGGGATAATGGGTAAGGTAAAAAGGTACAACCAAGAGTCAAGAGAGACAGCTGGAGTGGAGGCCAAAGAAGACAGGAAAGAGTGAAGACGAGGCTGTCAGGGGAAGAAAGTCTTTACAAACTGGGGGATAGGTTGGGAAAGTAGTAACAGTGGAGAACTGTGGACAAGTCCAATAAGAACTGAAAAGTTTGCCGGGTGTGGTGGCACGTGCCTGTAGTCCCAGCTACTCGGGAGGCTGAGGTGGGAGGATTGCTTGAGCCCAGGAGTTCTGGGCTGTAGAGCGCTATTCGAATCCCGGTGTCCGCACTAAATTCGGCAACAATATGGTGACCTCCAGGGAGCCGGGAACCACGAGGTTGCCTAAGGAAGGGTGAACCTGTTGGAAACGGAGCAGTTCAAAACTCCTGTGCTGATCAGTAGTGGGAATCCTGTGAATAGCCACTGCACTCCAGCCTGGGCAACATAGCGAGACCCCGACTCTAAAAGACTGTGCTATTCATGAACACCTCTGACATGTGTTAATACTAATACTTGAAACACTTCAAATGAACATAGATGAAAGAGAAAAAAAAAAAAAAAACTGAAAAGTTTTAAAATAGGTTTTTGCATTAATTTTGATTTTTTAAAAGAATGTTGCATACAATATTATTTACCTTGATTACTGAGTGTTTTGGTGCCCCTTAAATTTTGTGCTCAGGGCCTCACTTGCATCAACCGAAACTTGGCCCTACTTCTGACTCCCAGCCCAGGGCTCTTGGCCCTCCCTGGCTCGCAGCCGAAGGAGAAGGTGAGCCCTGAAGCTGGAGCCACACTTGCCTCTTCGATGCAGAGAAGTCCTGTTCCCGTCTCTGGGTCATACTGACCATCTGGCACCTCTGCCCTCTGGAAGAACCACTGAAAGCGAGTCTCCTTCTTGGTGTTGGTCACCTGGGGAAGGTGGGGAATGAGGAGACTCTGTCAGGCTTGCTCTCTTTTTGAGTAAAAACACACCTGTGTACCCTTTCGGGCATCTCAGCCGATTCTTTTCACATACCGTGTGTCTCCTCTGCTGGATTCTGGCTAAGAATTTTCCCTTTGCCTCTTGATGCCTGGCCTACTCTATTTTGCTTGTAAATGTCCATACGCTTCTTACTGACTCAGTTAAATGTCATCTCCAGAAAGCCTTTTTTGAAGCACCCCATAGTCACCCCCCATCACGATTAATCAATTTCCTGCCCCTCTCTGGATCACGCATAAGGCATGCTGTTTCCCAAGGACCCTGCCTTGACCCACAGAGACCAACCACTTCTTCATCTTTGTATGTTCAGTGCCTTGCAGAGTGACACGTAACAGATGCTCTGAGTTTACTGAATGAATACGCTCTGGGAGAGCACCCACCCTCCCCTTCCCCAGTTATCTAAAGAGACTGGAGGGTGCCAAGAAGAACCTTAGGCTTTGGGGTCAGATAGACTTGGATCAAACCTGGGTTCTCTACCTCTTACTGTGTGGTCTTGAGCTATTTCCCTGTTTGTTTTCTCATCTATAAAGTGGGGATCATAACGCCTATCTCACAGAGGATTGTGAGGCGATGAAATCATACTGTGAGTCTCTGAGCAAAGGCTGGTAAGAAGAGGACAGGGATACTCTTCAACATATAAACCCTCGCAGTCTCCCAGATCCCGCGACCCCTCGGAACCCCTTCCGGAGCCACTAGGATCTAGTTCAAGGCTGGCCCATCTCACACAAATCCTACCCTGTGGGTGCTGGGAAGGTGGGTTTGTTTTTGGGGTTAAATGTAGTCTCCTTGGGGGTACTTCCTGTGTGTGGGATCAGCCAAGAACAGAGTATGGAATTTAGGGGGAGGGGTGGGCAGGGACAGCCACTGGCCTTGGGGACAAGCCAAGGTCCCCCCACCCAGCCCTGCACTGGGCCTGGGGGCAGGGCAGGAGGAAGGGCAGGACTTGCCTTGCATGTCAGCTGCACTTGGCAGTCCTCCGTGATCTTCCATTGCAATGGCTGCTCAAAATAGGGACCTGTGTGTGCAAAACAAATGTGCCCATGGTCAGAGAGCCAGGGTGCCACTCGTGTCCAGGTGGTGATGGGGGGAGCAGGCAGCTAATGGCCATGGGCTCCTTAGTGCTGCTCTGCCAGGGCTGGGACTGGGGTGAGGCAAGGGGGGTGCTCAGGGTGCAAATTTCTTTCTTTTTTTTTTTTTGAGACACAGTCTCGCTCTGTTGCCCAGACTGGAGTGTAATGGCACAGTCTCAGCTCATTGCAACCTCCGCCTCCTGGGCTCAAGGATTCTCGTGCCTCAGCCTCTTGTGTAGCTGGGATTACAGGAGTGTGCCACCATGCCCGGCCAATTTTTGTATTTTTTGTAGAGAGGGGGTTTCACCATGTTGGCCAGGCTGGTCTTAAACTCCTGGCCTCAAGTGACCTGCCCGCCTTGGCCTCCCAAAGTACTGGGATTACAGGCATGAGCCACTGCACCTGGCCTCCGGGTGCAAAATTTAAGAGGGCTTGGCTCTCACCCTTAGGTTAGCCAAGAGCTGTTTTGATCTGGCACTGGGACAGAACTGGACTGAATGGCAGTGCACCTCCCTTGGGGGCCCAGCAGGGCTGAGGGTTCCATTAACCCTAGTCCAGGATCTCTAGCACAAAGCAGTGGCCAGGGATTTTGAACTTCACCCCAGCAGCTCTTACCCTGTTTTCTCTTCCAATCCCTTCTCTTAGCATCTGCCTTCCTCAGAAGTTTGTCAAAATCTGTGAACATAAAGGGAGGAACTGGCATGAGCTGAGAGGAGTGTGAGTCCAGAGAGGGAACGTGGCATGGACAGAAGGCGAGGGGTATGCTCAGCAGGCTGCAGAGCCGCGGGTTCAGGGCCACGGGGCAGGCCGGGGGTGTGGGGCGGGCTGAGGCGGGGCTGACCGTCGTCCACCAGTGTCAAAGTAATCTGGTTTTTGGCTTTTCCATCTTGGAGTTGAGCGGTGTACGACCCTTTGTCCTCCTCAGACAAGTTCTGGATGATCACTTCCACCAGGCCCTTCTCTCGCTCAAAATTGATTTTGCGGTTCTGAAAAGGACAAACTCCAAAGACCTTTTTGCACTTTCCCTGTTCTGGGAACATTGTTGTGGGGCACACATCAGGGTGTAGTGGGCTTGGCGGGGCAAGTGCAGAGCTGTCAGCCTTCAGAGACTAGGGCGGGGCGCTGGATAACCCTCTGCGGCTCCCCCCACACCCAGTCCCTGGATGCTTGAATCAGTTACAATTTTGTTTGTTTGTTTGTTTGTTCTGAGCCAGTCTCACTCTGTTGCTCAGGCTGTGTACAGTAGTGCAATCAGTTACAATTTAATAATAAGCCCCCAACTCCTGCTGTGCCATGATTTTGCTCATTTTCTTTTTTCTTTTTTTGAGATGGAATCTTGCTCCATCGCGAAGTCTCACTCCATCACCCAGGCTGGAGTGCAGTGGCGCAATCTTGGCTCACTGCAGCCTCTGCCTCCCGGGTTCAAGCACTTCTCCTGCCTCAGTCTCCCGAGTAGCTAGTACTACAAGCACATGCCAACATACCCGGCTAAGTTTTGTATTTTTAGTAGAGACGGGGTTTCACCATGTTGGCCAGGCTGGTCTTGAACTCCTGGCCTCAAGTTATCTGCCTGCCTTGGCCTCCCAAAGTGCTGGGATTACAGGCATAAGCCACTGTGCCCAGCTACTTATTTTCTGCTTTATTTCAAATAGGAAAAAACCCCATCAACATGTGTAAAGGATAATGGAAAAAAATACCCCTGTACTTGCTACCCAGAATTAACACTCATTTACATTTTACCATATTCTAACAGTTATTAAAGTTTCATTATCCTCATCTAGGTTCTTTCTCCCTCTGGCTTTATTTGTATGTATGATTTGGGGAAGTGATCTAATTTTGTTTTCCTATAGTGACAACGATGGTCCCACCACTGAATACTAATGAGTCCAGACTTTGTAACACTTCCTATACCATGTGGTAAGGTCACTGCATAATCTTTATGCAGAACTTTCAAATCAGTTTTCTGACTTGCACCTTTTGATCCTGGGACAACCAGCCCCATTGCACAGATGCAGAAACAGAGGCACAAGACAGGTGAAGAGACCTGCCACGATCATATAACCCAGAGGGGGTGGACATGAGTCTCCTGTCTGAACTAGCGCCCCCTTTCTATAATGCATATATTATTATTATTTTTTGTCATTGGACCTTTGATATATATAACACATATTTTCTTTTCTTTTTTTTTTTTTTTTTTTTTTTT